TTTCATCTTACTAACTAAAGCACTCTAATTAACTATTCTCAAAGATTTCTCCAGAAGTTCACTACAACAGTCACTGGATCCACACAGCTATTCTGGTTAAAACTCTACCCCTGCTTGCATAAAGTCAATCTGACCTATGACGCTTAGACCCTTGAACAGAGCCAACCTGTCTCACTCCATTATTCCTCTCCCACAAAAAGCATCAATGAGAGGATAAATTGCCTGCTTCCTTTTATCTGTTCTCAGGATCAGGAATGAAAGTTGAAAACCTAGAACAAGAAATCTCGGATGAGCTAAGAAACTCCTGACTCAGCAAAACCATAAGAAAACCTGCCCTAGAAAAAAACATAGTAACAGAATACTAGCTGTCGTCATTCATCCCTGACAGTAAAGAACTAATGAGAAAACTTTCCTCTCTTGAGAGGAGTCTGGCACTTGGTCTCTATTACGGTAGGATCATTGCTCTGATTAAAGGACAGTCTGCTTCAATCCTGACTTAACACATACACCACCATGATAATCTTTACTGCAACATGGGTGTACAGACATATATTAATTAGTTTACTTGTTTATAAGTTTGTTTATTTGATATCTACCATGATATATTTCCTCATTTGGCAAAGAGGACGCTGAAAGGCAAGCATGGGTGCTGAGAACTGAACCTACTCCTTTTGGTTGGGAGCTTTAGCCTTTAACAGCTTGGCCATCTTTCCAGCCCCCATTTCATTTCAAGGATTTTCATTAGAGTAGCTGGCTTTGGTGACATAAACTGTAGAGAATAAAAGAAGCTATTGAAAGATATCCTCAGCAGGGTCAAGTGTTTATTGTTAAAATATTATTAAAATGCTACAAAAGGTAACATGCTAAATTGTATGTTCAGAAAACTCATTGATATCCATTTCTAATGGGACATATAATTTTATGGGATTAATTTTCAGTATATTGGAAAAAATGGATGTCAGCTGTTTATACATGGACTGACAGTGACAAGATAACCTTATTTTGCCATAGCATTGATGTGTCCCATTTCCTGTGGCCAATACCCAGCCCACACCTGTGCTGATTTAACATTAGGTCTGATATTGACTTACTGGTCTGTTGTTTTTTTAGTGACATGGATTCTGGTTTAGTTGTTAGAGAAATATCCACTTGTCATTTAAAATGCAAATACTTACTTTCAGTGATTTTTCAAGCCTGTCATCTCGGGGATCCATTGTTTAAGTAGTATACCTCATGTAGGTAAGATTATTTTAAAGAAAAGTAGAGATGAGTGCATTGTGACTGCTATGATCATGATTATTAGAGAAACCGAGTGTGGATTCTCTGTGACCACCACGAGCAGCAGAATAACCATTCATGTGAAGCATGAAAGTCTAGTTCAGCATAACTCAGTAACTGGTGATGGTTCATACTTCTAGAGTCTGACACCAGGAAACTTATTTTAAAATTAGATTATTTAAACACAGCACAATTTTAGACAAAAGTTTCCTAGTGGCAATTAACTCAACCCTTCATGCACAATAAAGCTTAAGACATGACAACATTGAAACTCTTTTTAAAGTAATTGTGAGTTCTTTCATAAGGTGGGTTTATATATTGACTACATGTGACCTCTTAAGGGTTTCGGGAATGTCTGGTGTGTTTGTGGTCATTCAAATAGCACAGAGATCACCTTGTCTATTAACCACTTCCAACCCCATTTGTAAAGTATATGTGACATTTCCCATAAGGATGAGTTCTTTTGATTGAGAAACAATGGTCAAGAAAAGGAAGGGTCTGGGGAAGCCATGTGTGGCCTGGCCCTGCAGATAGCACAGAGATCACCAGGTTATTAACCACAGCCATTACCAGCCTTCTGTGGAGAAAATAGGTTTATACATCTCTTCCTTTGAAGGGACAAGCCTGCATGTTTAACATTTCTGGTTTCCCTAGTTTTATCTGTGAGCACAAGAGCCTCTGTGCCCTCTATGGTAACAGTGTCATCATAGGCAGATCAAAGAAGTCCAATGATATTTTTATTATCTTGTGTTCTGGGTTTCTTTTAAGACTTTTAAGTGTCTCACATAGCCTAAGTTTGTCCTGGATCTTTCAGCCGCTACCTCCCAAGTGCGGGATTACAGGTGTTGTGCCTCCATGTCCTTCTAGGATTTTGTTCTTTAACCAGCCCTATTACTACAACCCTAGAACTTCACATAAGATGTCACTTTTCACACAAATTTTAAATCCATTCACTACATTGGCAAGCAGGAATGAAGACTGGGGCCAGTTCTTGAAACAGGTCCTAACAGCATTTGCACACAACTATTTCACTCAAAAGGCAAAGATCATATTCCATATGTTTTTCCTAAGGATCATCTTCAGGGCCTGGGAAGATGGCTCAGTCAGAAAAGTGCTTGTCACATAACTGAGGGAATATGAATTCTGTCCTTCATAACCTACATAAGAAAGCTGGGCCTGGTAACATGAGCTGTAAACTCAGTTTCAGGTAGGGAGAGATTGGTGGATCCTTGGAACTTGCTGGTCAGTTAGCCTAACTTAATCTGTGAGCTCCAGATTCAGTAAGAGAACCTGTCTTATAAAAACTACAGAGAACAATATCTTTCTTCTGAGGACAAGTATTGAACATGCTTCCAAGATGGATTAACTTGTGTTAGGTATTCCCTCTCTCTCTCTCTCTCTCTCTCTCTCTCTCTCTCTCTCTCTCTCTCTCTCTCTCTCTCCTTCTTCCCACATCCTTCCTTCCTTTCTTTTTTCTTTCCTTCTTAAAGATTTATGTGCATGCATATGTGGGTGCCTGCAGAGAACAGAAGCACCACATCCTCTGCAGCTGGAGTTATAGGCAGTTATGAGCTGCACAGTGTGGTTCCCAGGAACAGAACTCAGGGGAATTCTAACTGCTGATCTATGAAGTCCTAGTTTTAAAAAAGTACTTTCTACTCAGAAGTTGAAAAATTACTAATATGTTATAAAGAACTACTCCTATATTTGCATATGTTATAAAGAGTTGGCAGCTTTCTTTCAAAACTATAACCAAGAAAAATTAATAAGTAAGTTAAAGTTTTATTTTTTTTTTAAAAGGAGATGGACCAGGATGACGGATTAAACCAGATTAAAAATTGATTCAGGGTTTAAAAATTCTTGCCACATAAGCTTGACTATCTGATCTGGTTCCCAGGAACCCAAGGCAGCAGTAGAAAGCAGACTCCTATGACAACATGACCCCTACACTTATGCTGTGGCATAGATGTACCCCCTCAAGTAATAAAGTAATTTTTTAATGGACCAAATGGGTAACTCTCCAATGTTTCAAATAGATGAATGTGACTTTTGGATATAATTTTTATTATTAAGTAAAATCTGTTTTGTTTTTTTCTGGAATACAGTTGGCACTCAACACCAGTGATTTGCTATAGCTTCCAAGAGTCAAGGAGAAAGTGCTGCACTGGGTTACATTTGAAATCATTACTGTGGTAGAAAAGATCCTTTAAGGGGGACACTTCAGCTTAAGAATAAACTTCTGACCTGCCTGGAGATGTGATAGTATGACGACTATAATATCACACAAAACTCTCTGTCCTTCCTGCCTTTTAAAATGCAAACTTGGAGAGTACTTCCACTGTCATAGGAAAATTTGAGTGGAAAGTCCTGTGACTTTGCCTTTGTTGTCCTTCCACTTCTCCCTGTCTCTATGGTCAACATCCCACATTGGGAAGCACACATGACAAGCCCAGAATAAATATTGACTCTGTTATGAAGCCAAGCCAGTGCCCACAGTGTGCCTTCTGTGGGTCAGGACAAATGGTTGGGTACTTACGTCCCACAGTGACATCTTTACGTTATCACACAGTGTAATCTTGCAGCCTAAATGTCCCTGTGATGCTGTGAAATATCTCCTCGACCCAGGCCAGAAGTCTCCCCAGGGTTATCTGTTTCCCCGAACTGCTGCAGGCCTGTGATAATAAAGGACCAGAGGTCCTTGTCACTGAGCCAGTTTTCCCTTTGGTGCAGGAAGAAGTCTGTTCGTCTCTGGCTCAGGGTTCTGGAGTTAGAGGAAGAGTCCTCCATTTGGGGAGGGATTGAAATTTCCTGTGACCTCAGTAAGTTCGAGTGCTCTGAAAGAGAAACCTACTGTTTACAATAAAGGCGGATGTGTGACAAAAAAAAAAAAAAAAAAAAAAAAAAAAAGAGAAACGAAACACAAAGTAAACCAGAAACAAACAGGAAAGTCAGTCTACAGATGGTGCCAGCGTGGCTCCTGGCCCTGTTCCAGCAGTTTCAGAATGGCTTTTTTAGTAAAAGGCTATTAGTGATCTGGGGGTTGAAAGGGAGAGAGGAGTTGATGGCAAGAAGATTGGAGAGGAAGGAGAAGGGAAAGAAAGTAGAGAATGGAAGGGGGAAGAGAGAAGAGAAGCCAGAAGTAGATAGAGACATTGGGGCTGGGAGAGGGATCAGACCTTGAAGCTGTCATGTGAGCTCATAGAAGAGCAGGTATGTATATTACTGGTCAGATTAAAAGCCTTCCAGGCCTTTGTTTTAAGCTGTCAGGCTTTTGTCTTAGGTCAAGTGGGTATAGGAGTTCTGCCTGAATGTATGTCTGAGAACTATGTAAGTGTAACAGAGGACAGATGAAGGTGTAACAACACAGGCTCATGATCACCTACCCCAAAGATCATGGTCTGATGGACAGGAAAGGGTTGGTAATAATATGTTCTTTTTGTTGTCATCTTTTGTTTCTGAATTGATTCCTGCAGGACAGTAAAACTGGTCTCCCCCTCCAGCCCCTGAGTTGCTCTGCTAAAAGCTCTTTGTTTACAGGATTAGTTGGTAGGGTGAGTGTTCAGGGGCTGAACCCACACAGAACCAGATCCTTTCCAAACTAATGCTGTAAACTTTATTACAGACAGGCTCACTGCGATTCCTTACAAGTTCTGACTCCTACTTGGGAGGAGCAACTCCTACTTGGGCGGAGCTGGCTGTTAAATACTGACTGGGACCTCTGATGTGGTTCTGTCTCTCAGCTTTCAAGTTTCAATCCTCCTGTAGCTAAAACTCAGCTTCTCAGCTCTGAGATGAGTACCACGAAGGCTTCCCTACCTATGCTCAACACCACAGACAGCCCGCAGGAGGCAGAAATGGGTATGTATTTAATAATATTTCAACCAAACTGTAAGAGAAGAGAGGAGCTTCACCAGGGACAGGAAGGCAAAAGAGCTGAACCTTGAACAAAAGAATAAGAACAGAAGGGCTTCTGTGAGCCTGTCACAGTGGGTCTGCAGAGTAGGAGAAAGCAGACAGGATTAGCTATGAGGCTGTTACATTAGTTATTCTGTTGGAGCATGCAATATATGAATAGTTCTCAGGCAAGAGAAACGAAGAGTGAGTGAGTCACCTTTTAAGAGCCAGAGCTGCAGTCCCAGCATTCTTTCTTTCTTTGTACTTAGCTTGCTAGTCCACTCTTCCCAGCAATCTGGTAATTACACTCTGGTAGGTTACACCAAATTGCTGTAGAAAATGCTTGCTCTACTTGTGAAGAAATTATAAGCAATGGCTTTGCAATGTGCATAGTGATAGAAGTTGCCTGGGAAGCTTGGGGCTTGTGTTTTGCAGATCCATTGTAATTAAAAAAGAACTGTGAGGAGGTGGCATGGGGTGGGAATGGGGTGGGGGTAGGGTGAGGGTTCAGGGGCTGAACCCACCCAGGACCAGATCCTTTCCATTCTAAGCTCTTGATAAGTTACAAAAAAAGAATGTAATGGGGTTTTCTACTTCATTCTCCACACAAGCAAAATCGTGTTTCTTGTGTTTCAAACTGTCTGTGCTTCATTGTATTGTGCTCCTTTATCTTGCTTTTCTCCTCACTCCTGTTCCTTCACCCTAATTTCTTTTTCATTTAGGGAAAGAATATTGGATTTTGAGAAAACAAGATTGATATTTATCAAAATACAAAATTCACAACAAACGTCAATGCTTATCACTTAACCAAGTATTCTAACTGAAATTATTATGATTGTTATTATCACTATTATCACTGATGATGATGAGGATTGGTTCTTTGGCAAAATCTCATACTTTACCCCAAATTGGCCTGGAACTCCAGCTCCCTCTGCCTCAGCAGGGTTAACTTTTTGAAATCAAATACTCAAATATTTAGCCAACAGAAACATTTCCTGCTGTGAATGTGGAGCTCGTGTCTAAAGTGCAGCTGTTGTGTAACTAGCTGCAGACATTTTATAGCTTTACTCCTTTGAAACCATAACTTGTTTAGTCACTGAAACAGTTGTTAATTAAGCTAAAAACCAGGCCAGCAATGTTTTATTTCTTTGTTTTTTTGAGGTATCATTTTCAACGTTGCTTTTAAATAAAGACACGAAAGCTTTGTTCAAACTGTGCTATGGGACACATTCAAATTTAGGAGATACGTGTGTATACAGCATGAGAAAGATGGATGGCAAAGTTCCTGTTTATATATCACAATGAAAAAGAAAGTATCAAAATTATACTGGTGTAAACACAGAGGATTATCTGTAAATCTTACTCATAATATCATATAAGAAATGCTGGTGTGGAATCCTAAATGAATAAAATTATCTTTCTTATTTTTTTTGAAATGTCCAATATCCACAAATGTGTCCCTTCAATTTCCAACTTGCTAAGACTTTTTGTTATTTTAGACTAATATTAATTTTCCACATGATTTTGGTAAGCTTGTTATGTCAGTGGGTTTAATTACATTTATGTGCCTTTATTAATTAATTTATTTACTGATTAAGTTCTTTGGACATAGTCCAGGTTGAGTTCTAACTTCCTATGTAGCCAAGGCTAGCCTTGTACTCCTGACTCTCCAGCTTCTGCCTCCCTAGCACTGGAAATATAAAAGTGTACCATCCTGTTTGTCTCCTTGACTAGAGCAGGGGTTACACAGGTGGTTGTGAGCCCCTTTTCAGGAGGTGGGATTGGGAACCCAACATGGGTCCTCTAGAAGAGCATCAACTGATCTTAACCTCTCAGCCATCTGTGCAGCCCCCTGCTGATCCATGTCTGTCTCCATCCTTGGTGCTCAGTGATGTCCTCAGTCCTAACCAGTCTATTCTTATGGAACAAAATATATGGATAGCTTTGGTTGTTGTTTGCTATCAACCTGAACTTCACTCTTTCTGCTTCTTGCTTCTTCATTGGCCCTTAGTTCAATGACTGGAAGACTCCATGTTTCTCTTTCCTCTAGTCTTCTGTGAGCCATAGACATGATTAATAGACCAGGACCTTCTGTGAAGGGGATTGCAGTGGGTGAAAACAAGCCAAATCTACAAAAAAATTCTTTTTCCTTAAATGTCTCTTGAGATTGATGTTCTCATATTTATATTTTCAGGTAAAACGCTTCAAGGAAAATGTCTCAGAATCCTCTGCTCTGAGTCTCCTGCTAAGCTTTACTGCTGCTATGGAGTGATCATGGTCCTCACTGTAGCTGTAGCTGCTCTTTTTGCTGCTTTGTCAGGTAAGTGACTCACTCTCCAAATTCTGCAGCATTCTGTCCACATTCACACTGTCAGTTATACTACTGACCACTGTGACCCAGGCATTGTGGGAAGGGCTTTAGAGAAAACACACTGGAAGTTCCTGTTATCTGGGAACTTAGGTTCCAGCAGGAAGATGCAGTGAAGGAACACATAGGCTGTGGTGTGGTCAGGAGGCCAGGCTCAGCATCTCTGGGGAGACATCATCCAGCAAGCTCTAGACAGAGATGCAGGGGACTCAGGTCCACTTGGGGGAACTGACCAAGGTAGAGAACAAGGAAAGAAAAAATCCAAAGAGGAACCTCAAGAAAGGATGAGAACAGGGAAGAGTAATATGGCCAGTGAGATACATTGCCTCCTGCCATGACCCCATGGGTTTAGTTACCAGGCTCAACTGCATTTTGAAAGTATTAAATGGAAAGGTTCTGAAGTAATAAATGTATAGGATTTTAGTACCACACTGTCCAGAATAGTGCAATAAAATATCGAACTGTCGTCTTAAGTATGTAAATCATTCTTTAGGGCAATGTGTCCACACTGTATACACTACCTACCCAAAAGTTCTCACTGCTATCTCAATTATCAGGCTGACTATAATAGGTGTCCATACAGAGTGCTTGCTGTTGTAGCATCCTTATTATAGTAAACAGTCATCCAAAGCACAGAAATGATGCTATTATAGAAATGCACTTCCTGGGAACCCTACTGTCAGTGCACACCTGAGAGAGAATGGGACAGAGGCCCAAGGTGGGAGACCTTTAGGTAAAGGCCTGTCATGCTCAGGAGAGGATTCCTACAGATCACTTAGGAAAGCTACAATCAGATTCACACCTCACACTGAACTCAGGAGAGTATTTCAAAAAGAGAGTAGACATGCTTATTATGATTTGTTGTATTGCCCTTTTCTTAGTAAAAAGGACAGAACAGATCTCAATCAAAAACAATGCCTATGCTGCTTGCCCGAGAAACTGGATTGGATTTGGAAATAAATGTTTTTATTTTTCTGAATACTCAAGTAACTGGACATTCAGCCAGGACTTCTGCGTGGAACAAGAGGCCCAGCTAGCTCGAGTTGACAACCAGGAGGAGCTGGTAAGAAATGGGCAGAGATTCGTTTGTCTGTTTGTTTTGTTGAATATTTTATTGCCTTAAGATAGTTACAGATGAAGCATGAGGAAGGATCCCATCCCAAACACATGAAGAGATGGGGAATGTGTGAGTGTGTGTAATTTGCTCGCGTTAGACTTCTGACTGAAGCCCTGAGACACTCAAGAAATATTATTTCATGTAGTAGTCATAGTCAGCTGGAAGGTCAGATATGCCATCTTACTGGGATACCTGGTAGTCATGAGAATTTTCCCATAAGCTGACACATGTTACATACAGCAGATGATAACTGTCAATAACTGCAATGGGAGGTTAACCCAGAGCTATCCTGGTCACAGAGGAATGTGTCACTACATTTGGTACTTTCATTCAAATGAGGTACTTTAGAATTACAGATGTCAAGTGGATCCACTGAGAACTGGTGACTAGTACAGCTCCAAAGTCTGTGAGCCTCAGTTCCCCCCTCCTGTTATCTCTAGAGGAAGCTGTGGAGTGGAGAGACTCCAGGATCATCTGAAACAACGAGACACATGTATTTTTGCCTTTTTGTGTTTTATGACAGAATGTCCTAAGTAGATACAAGGGGATTTTTGACCACTGGATTGGCCTGTACAGAGAGTCATCAGAGCACCCTTGGAAGTGGACAGACAACACTGAGTATAACAACTTGTATGTTTTCACAATCTTCTCCCTTCTACTGTGTTCGTGTGTTGTGATATGTGTGTGTTGTGGCTATGAGAGATGAAAGTCGGTGCCATGTGAAGCCAACTGTACTGGAAGGAAGAAAAACAAAAGAACCCTTGGGCTAGATGTGTGGCTCAGAGGTAGAGAGTGTGTTGTTTACATGCAAGAGTCAATCCCCAGGAAACTCACAAGCTTAAATCCTTTGGATATTTTCTTGTTTATTGGTCATCATTTTCAAAACCTTTACTTAGTGTGGTTTTACTCAAAATCTTTAACCATAACAATGGTGTCTGGGGAAGCTATTGCTTGCTTTAGCTCCAACCTAAACCTTTTTGTTGTTGATAAATGTCCTGTGTGGGATACAGACAAACCCTCAGATGGGCAGTGGGGGCTCTGACACCCCAGAAAGCCACTGCAGAAACTGCAAGCCTGTGACTGAGCAGTCCATTATCTGCATGGGTGCACTTGTCCAGGAAAGCAGACTCTTAGGACACTTGGTACCTCCTCTAAAGTCTTGTCATCACAGAGCACTCAAAACAGTTCTTGGATTTGAGCATAGCTGTTTGACTTGTCATTACAGAGCACCCAAAACAGTTCTTGGATTTGAGCATAGCTGTTTGACTGGAATGGTACATCACAGACTTTGTCACATCCACCCATTAAAGCCCTTTAAGTAATTTACTAAGAAATGGGCATTCTCATATGTAAAATGCCTCAAAACAGAATTGAAAATCACCCTCAGTGAGGTCACTTAAGGCTGCAGTTCATTTGAACATGGCAGCAAGCACCAGCCCAATGCCTTGTACACACATTACAGGATTTACCATGGACAAATGACAAAGGAGTGATGTTCAAACCCTGAAAATGTGGGACAGCAGGCACAAAACTAGTGCAGGTGATTCCTCAGGGACTCTTTGGTTCATATTACCAAAAAGCAGTGGAGACTGGTGAGATTTCATTGCAGGAGCTAATGCAGTTCTGGACTCCGCCGACTTAATGTTTTTTTTTTTTTTTCAGGGTTCCTGTCCAGGGAGTGGAAGACTATGCGTACCTGAACAGTCAAGGGTTCAATAGTGCCAGGATCTATGTAAATCGCAGATGGATTTGTAGCAAGCTCAACAGCTATAGCCTCCACTGCCAAACTCCTTTTTTTCCTTCTTAACTTTTAACAAGAGATGCTTCTTAGCCTGTTATCTATGGGTGCTACTCTTTACCCTATGGTCACACATTGCTATCAAAACAAATAAGAGTATTTCCAACATCACAAGTGAAAACCATCTTGGAGAGCTGCACATACAGGGGATTACAAGAACATAGATGAGTCTAAAGTAGATGTTGTCACTCATACCTTAAGCCTAAAGTACAACTAATGTTCTTGAACCCCACTTTTATGATATGAAGTTTTTGTGCAGAGAAATCTTTCCGTTGAATCTATGAGACCACAAAAATGAGTCTCCCAACATGCATGTGACCTTTAACAATGAAAGCAAAATGGCTGGGATAGTGACATACATCTATAATCCCAGCTACATAAGGGTTGAAACAGGAGGGTCACAGGTTCATGAGTGGGGACTGAAAGCGTGGAAACACCTTAACAATGACAGGGAAGATTTGAACCCATCTGTAGCATCCCATCATTTGGAGAACCATATTATACATGCTTTTCTGAACTCAAACCAACAGACAGAAGAATTTAAAAAGTGTGTAAAATTAAGATTTACTTTATACTATGCAATTTAGCACGTAAGGGACACTGGTGATATATTTCTCTACTTTACTTTTCAACGTTCCTATTTCCAATTATACTGTTCTAAGTATAATTATAATTACTTACTTATCCTGTTCTAAGTATAATACATTTTATAAACAAATGCCATTTTAATTTCACCATTTTATGGGATTTATTTCACATCAAACGTGAAACTCCTTAAGCATTTAATACTTAATTTTACACTAGCATGTATATTATTGAGTTTTCAAAAAAAATATTTAAAATCTTAAAGAGTTAGCTACCCCATACTGATGAGTCCCAAAAAAGGACGAAATAACAGGCTAAAAAGCATCTCTTGATCTCTTCATCCTTTCTTTTCCCTCTTGTTTTTTTTATTCAATATTATATTTATTTAAATTTCAGATGTTATCCCCTTTCCCCATTCCCCCCTCATTAACCCCCTATCCCATCCCTCCTCCTCCTTTTTTTCTTTTATATCGTTTAAATTACATGTAAGTATGAATGGGACTCTGTTTATTATCCTGGTTGTTCGTTGAATATTTGCATCTGTTGTATTGCTAGCTCCTCAACCTAGTACTTACCTCTTGTTCTTTTTAACGACTATGTATCAACTTGATATGCCAAGAGGGAGTTGATATCCACGGGAGGCCTCTAGGTCTCTAAGGAGAAAGGGATGAAGAAATGGGGGAAGGGAAGGTGAAAGGAACATAGTGGGTGGGAGGGAAGGGAAATAAATAAAAAATAAATTCAAAACACTACATTTATGCTGACTTCATTTATGCTTATTGCTTGTGTATATGTATATATGTGCCCTGCCTGTGCTGGGCAGACAACACAGACATAGCACAGACAGAGATAGACAGGACCAGAAGGGATCCTCTCTCTGCTTACTGCGAGTGGCAAGGTGGATGCTGGAAATGGAGCAAGAACAAGGGCTCCTAACGCTGAGTCATCTTTTCTTCCCTCTTGTCTCCTTTTATTAGCACTGCTGATCAAGCTTTGCAAAAGTAGCAGGTATTCCCTGCAGTTTTGGTATTTTCTTTTTATAAGCTGTTGTCTAAATCTGTGACCCTCCTTAAGTAGCTGGGGTCACAGGTATGTGTCACCACACCAGCCATTTTGTTTCTCATTGCTAAGGACCAAGAACATTTTTTGATATGCATTGATGCTTTGCCTTCACGTGTGTCTGTGTAAGGATGCCACATCCTCTGAAACTGGAGTTACAGGCAGTTGTAGCTCCCATATGGGTGCTGGGAATTGAATTCAGGTCCAGTCCTCCTAATCACACATGCATTTTGAGAAATGTATTGTTTTTATTTTAAAGTAGTGCTTTTTATTTATTAGATGAATGAAAGCACATTTCATTCTGAAAAATGACTTTCTCAGCCCCCCGCCATTCCCCTCATTTAGTCCTAATACCACTCTTTGCAATCCATTTTACTTCCTACATCCTAAAGGAAAGGAGGAATATGTTCCCAGGGATGGTTCAGAGAAATAAATATTTTATACCATTAAATTGTGTGAACTTAATCCACAAAAGAAACGTGATAGGCTTATAAACTTAGCTGATCCAATAATACTGTACACAGTAGACTGGAAGAAATAGATTTACTAATATTAATTCTTAAGATTCAAATTACCCAGGGAAATGTCTCGCCAGTGTCCCTATCTGACCCACAGTAAACACACAGTAAGTTTCCTTCCATTGCTCTCTGGAAATAATGCTGAAGGGAACAGCAACTTTCCATGAGCGTTGGTCCTTCTAAGGGATCTATCCCCAAGATGTCAGTGAGCTGTTCAAACAGTCTCTTCCCTCAATCTATCTCTCTCTCTCTCTCTCTCTCTCTCTCTCTCTCTCTCTCTCTCTCT